GCGGACTTTGATGCTTCTCAGCTAGATGGCCACTTGTTTATCTTCAAGCCTTTAAGACCCCAGATGCTATATCTTTTGATAGCCAGGCACCATCAGCTTTGTTCATCACATTTGCTTATGCACTCGCTCTGTCTTCAGTGATTGTGTCGGGAAGGTGAGCATCATGGAATGCTAGTTTAATAGAAAAAAAATTCTTGCATTGAGGGAGTACTTGAGTGGAGGCCCAATGTCCATCTGCTACCTTAATACTAAACCTATAAATACTTCTAATGTCTTGTACTGAGAGAATCTACTTGTTTGTTAAAGCCCCTCTACTTCTGGCCTTTCTGCTATAGCAGTGCTCCAGAATTAAGACACAATCACAAAGCACTCCATAAACATCTCTGCCACCCTCCCCTGCAAACACACCTTCTCCACTCTTTCTAGCTATTTTTCTATTTAGACCATCTGAGTTCAAATTCCAGCTCCACCATTACTAGCTCCGGGGGAAGGGCATGGGGGGTGTAGAAATTACTTAGCTAGTAACTATTAATTAGCTGGTCACTATGTAACCATTTCCTAGCATCACTGCAAATATTAAATGAGCTAATAGTGCCTGGAACATGGTAAATAACTCTGTATTAAGAGTTTGTTATTATCCACCAACTTTCCTCTTCTGTGTCATTTTCAGAGTAGGAATTGGGAGCAGGCCCACTGCAAACCTCATTTTCTTCCTTTTGAGGGGCATGGGGGTAGGGGGTAGCACAGGGCAAAGCAGGTAAGGAAGCATGATTTGACCCTCAGGGTAGAAAGTAAGTTCATCATATTCATCAGTTGTGTTTTAAATACATTTATGTTTAACAGTTTCACTGACATCTAGTTCACACATCATACATTTCACTACTTTAATCACATTCATAAAAGTTGTGTAACCATCACCACTATCAATTCCAGGATATTTTTTCCTTCCTTGCACTTGTTAGCTTTTTATTTCCTGCCCTACTCTCCTGCCATGTCCCTTTGAAACTATTGATCCAGTTGCTGTCTCTATGAGTTTACCTAGCCTGGGTTTCATATACAGAAAAACATACAAAATCAAAACAAACAAATGGCCAAAAAACACTGACAGACTGCTCTGACCCCTCTCTCTGAGCTCTCTGACCTCGCGCCCTGGTCGCTCCCCTCTCTCCCCCTCTCCTCTCCCGTCCTCTCTCCCTTGTTCCCTTGCCCTCCTTCCCTTCCCCCTCTCTCCACGTGGACCACCAAGCTGGGCTGAGAGAAAATTGATCCTAAGAAGTCCCAAGAAGATGGAAACCATGTTTGGGATCCGGGTCCATTCACCTGGAGAAAGGGCTATGCATTTGTATTTTTGCAGAATAAAGCTGATGGACTCATTTTAGAAGGATGTTGCAACCACGTTTGTAGAAATATGGACAAGGAAGAGATGGAGAAGCCACCCCAATCTTAATCATAATTCCTTTTTCAGGTTAATGACACCCCGAAGAGAGGGGCTATTTGTTTATATTTTCACAGGCAAAGGAGATAGATGGATTTCTCTTCAGCCAGCGAGGCCCAGAAGAAAGCAAGGGAGCTGATGTGACCTGACCCCCCTGTCCTGTTATTGAAGTTACCCAAAACGTCAAGGAGACCTCGCAGATTACCGAGAATGGCAATCGCTGACTGCAGAGATATTTCTTCTATTACGGATACCATCTAAGAGAAACTCTGGGACTCTAGCATAACTGAACACTTGATACAATAGTGACTCGACTATTACTACAGAGTGCTGCTTTGCTGAAACATCAAGATTTTGGACTTGTCAATGCTATAATGTGATTGAAATTTAACTGGTTTCTGTGTAACTCCTTACCTATGTATTGTAACATTGCATGATTGGGATATGATTAAGAAACATTTGCAAGGGTTTAAGGGGAAACATTTAATTAGATGTTGATCAGCTTAAGAAGGATATTTTCTATACATTCAAAGATAAGCTTGAGGCATCTCCTGGCTCTGATATAATTAAGCAATTGGTGGATGGCATGGAAGGA